TAGACCGTTCGACTTACTAACTAAACAAAAGGAGCTGGGTTCGAATCTCAGGTAGCACAAAATCTGTGGTTTAGTAAGTCAGGTTGATAACGTCCACTGAACCAAAATGGTCGCCGAGGTTTCCATCTTCTTTATCCATAGCATCCTACCCACCTATACACTTGTTATCGTCGGAAGAGATCACTTTGAATTACTCTATCAAAACCTCAACTCCACATGTCCAGAAATTAAATTTGCCCTTTAAACAGCGATAAATGAGCAACCTATATTCTTAGATGTTCTAGTACACAGGAAGGCCGATGGAACGCTGCATACGTCAGGTTATCGTAAGGATTGATACTCCGAAGTCAGCTTACACTTTGAGAGTAGCCAGCCCATGTCTCACAAACGCAGCTCTATCAGCAGCTTACTTGCAACTTTCCAAAACGGATACCCTCCCGACCTTGTTCGTCGATGCATACGGTAACAACAGTCCAAAGAAAAAGGTTTTTTCAGAGCTAAGACCACTCTCGTGCCAAAGCCAACGAACTGGCGAACACGCCCATATATAAGAAATAAATCTGAGCTCGTCGAAAGACAAGTCAGATACGAATTGCGCGTAAACCTACAACTATCTTGCGAACCCACTTGTATACCCTGAGGACAGGGTTGGCTCTTTCAACAGAAAAGAAATCGTCTATGAAATACCGTGTACCAGTTATGATGCAGCCTATTGTTTCCAAACCGGGAAATCTCTATCCATCCGTATACACAAAAACCCGTTAGCGGTGAGGAGCCGAAACCACTTATCCCCGGTTGTCATGCAAACACTGGATACAGGACAAAAATTTGTATGGGAGGGTCTTTAGCTGATGGCATTCATTTTTGTTCGATTCCACTCAGTAATATTGTGAGACTTTCCTTTTTTCGTTGCGGACTTTATACGAGTCCTACTTGGGCACAAATAAGTAATGTAACTAAGTAAGCAGAATGTGTTGGTCGATAACCAAATCAAGAATAAGGATTAATAATCTCAGAACAGATCATCGTGAACTAATGCGCTGTTCAGTTGACTGCTCTAGCCAACACATACATTTTATCAATTACTTAATGATCCATTAAGTCGTCGTTTGTCCTGCTTTTCGAGGCAGTACTTTTTCAAGAAGCCAAACAATCCGAGCACAGTGGCTTCTTTGAAAGTAAATTTTGAAAGCCACTCCTACAGCCGAGATTACCCAGTGCACATTCTGTAATCCTGATACTTCCTTTCTTCCTCACTACCGATTGTAGCCTCCATCAAGATCGGTGCACGAAATACTCTAGACCGCCACGGAAAGAGATGCGTTCATCCTTTTCCAGCCTTATGATATATACACACAGACAGGTTACACCACTCCGAGGTCAGACCTAAACAGTAGAGCCGTGAGGGCACTGAAAACTACCTTGCATTGCCAAAGTCAGCCATCGTTGTGAAAAAGCCAGCCTAACACAAGCACACAGGTACTTAGTAGCGTAAATTGTTTACTGACGGCCAGCCAGCTATTGGGGCAACTCGTCCAGCATTCGGCTAGAGCGAGGTTAAAGGTGATCTGCAATTAGCAGCAGCATGACCGAGATACGCGCATGTAAACTGGCCCGGCACTCCGGATGCTGCCAAGCACTGCATGGCCGCACCACTTGTTCTCCAAAACTCGCACAGCCTATCCATTGTTTACGTAAGCAACGCGTGCACATTAGCCTAACATCATGTGAGACCTATGTGTTCAAAGGAGTTTATTATGGTGGAAGAAAACTTAATTTTTCAGTCCTGTGTATGCAGTTGAAACGTGGGGGAACCGTGGTTTGCCTGATAGTGAAGTGTGCATTAGAGCTGAAGATATTTACGTAACTGAGTTATTTGGAGGTGGCATCACACGTGAATATAAAAAATCCACGATTTAGTCGTAGCATATGCGTCCGCCATAATGAAGTGTTAGAGGTGACTTTCAGGAAGTTTATAATAGTTGGTTATCTTATGCCTTTCAATTTCATCGTAAATAAAGCTGCGTACTTGGAGTGGAGTCGTTTAACTGGGGCTTTTTGCCCCATACTCGGAAATATTTGTGCCAAGGAGTGTAATGTAAAGCCTTATTTAAGTTCTAATGGAACTTAAAATCTCTAGCATACAAATGTGATTGCTCCTACAAGAGAAACTGCTTCGAGAGCTCAGAGGGGCCACCTGCCTGGAGTGTCAAATATTACTCCTTACGAAAGTTAACAATCAAGCATATTTATATACTTCGGTTTCTCGGACAAGTATGTGAAAAGTACTGTGGTTTAACTCTCAGATTATGTTAATTTCATTCTCTCTTCTTATTTTGTATTAGCTCACACCAATCTGATCACCTTATGTTCGGTATTGCACTGGTCCCTTTGCTTTAGATCCCAGTTTATTTGTTTCGGGTTCAGTCCTATATTCGTGAGCATTGAATGGTCCACTACCTTTACCAAAGGGGAAATGGTTATACAATCGGTGATTGGAGCCTTGGCTTATGTCCTTAACGAGCCGTAGCCTCGATCGATGCCAGGGGTTCTTAAAATATAATGTAACTTTTATCTTTACGTTCGACAACTGAATCAATTAACAACACCCTGAGATCGGATGTTCGCACTTTTGACAATAAATACTTGCTAAGCTGACATGATCCGAATGGAATGACCTTGAGTTAAAAAGAAGTTTATTCTTGAGCCAATGAGGAGAAGAGGAGAACTTTAGGTATTGTCAACTTGAAGAGGTGGAAGGGAGAGGACGCGAAAAATAAGAGTATAGCTAAATTTTGCGGTAAGCGGGATAATTTAAAGTAATACTGATTGAGGTCTTTATCGATGTTCTCATAGGCTCATAAGGGAAAAAATTTAGATTAACAATGGCCTTCAAATATTTTTTGCCAAATATATTCTACTGAACCTGTATTATTCAGCCACTTTGCAAAGAATTTTAAAGGAAAAGTGGACCTTAGTGAAAGATAACTAAATTACCGAGTGTATTAAGCCTTGTAAATGTGACGCGCAGGTTTGTTATAGCTGAAAGGTTTTGTCGTTCTTCACTGTAGAGTGGGAGATTGGCATGCATTTCGCTCGGAGCTGCCATAAATGCAACCTAAATAAACAAGGCAAAGCTTAGAAATAAAAACTAATGGTAAATAATATCCAAGGGAGTAATTGGCAACCTTGAAATGCAAAGTTATTATTCAGTTATCAAAATCATAAGATATTAAAGGGTTATGTTTGGAGACTTACGACTCCACCCTCAGAGGGTGTCAACTGGCTGTAGACATTAGTGCAAGTGACATCATTGAGAGTCCTTCGAGGTCTTTCCGGGATATCGGGGAAGTCCCGGGGACAGTTATTAGAAAAGTAGGCATAGGGTTTCCACGTCTGTCCAAAGTTGTCAGAACGCTCAAGGTACATAGCTGCTGGCCGGAATGTTTTGAAGCGCATAATCGTCGAAATGAATTGAAACTGTGTTTCCAAATTAAGCACAATGCTAACGTTGTGCACCGCATTCTCCGACTGCCACCTATTGGAAAATCAAGAAAAGGACTAAGTTCTATGTGTGCAAGTCGTAAATTAAGAAATCAGTTGCTGGTCTTTAGTATCTGCTGCCAAAAACAGCGGGGAATTGTTTGAGCAATTTATAAATTTCTGACACCATTTTAAGAAATTAAAAATATAACTTTCTGCTGGACTAAAAGCCACTGGTGAGTAAAATAAGGGAATTTGTTTTCTAAACACCAGAACGATATTTAAAAGATTTTCTTTGTTGTATCATCAGCTGTCTACGTGTACTGTAAGCATTTGGAAGCAGTTCAGGTGAAAAACTTAACACTGTACTTCGAAAACTCAAAACTTTTACATGGGTATGTGTTGTGCAGTAAACATTCAGTGATTTCATTTTTGCTGTGAAAATCAGTCTGATGAACTTCTAATTTTTTCATTGAAGTGGCCCTCGTAAAGAGTCTTCTGCTATATTCAGCTGCAACTAAAAATCAACCATGGATTAGCGAATACAAATGTGAAACATAATTTTGCGTTGAGCGAACGACTACTGTGGAGCAAAAAGAGATTCAGAAAATTATTAGTTAAAGGGGAAAATGCATTGTTTAGTAACCGCATTAAGTTACACAGCAATATCAGAGTAAGATCTTGTGTTTAACCTCAATACGGAACTTTAGTTCTTTGAAGTGTCAGAAGTATTTATCAACCAATAAAATTATTATCTTAGGAAGCGGCCACAGAAAATTGCATGACTTTATTAAATGTTTTATGCTCCATTTAATTCAAAATTAGATTATAATTAAATAAAACAAACAGTGTTTCTCGCCATCAACGTAATATTGAACTAAGTTATTTAGATATGAGTCCGTAAAAGGATTTTGCACATATCAAAGCCAATTGCACAATATTGCTTGTTTTTGGCAACTGACCTCCACACTATTTCAAGTAAGGGAGTATAATTATCTTTTTATTCCAAGCAATTTGCTCAGTAACGATTAAACCCCCAGTATTTTCAATAGAGACCAGGTTTCTATAGACTTATTAATGAGTTATTTATAGACAGAAGATGATACTTGAAAAAGTGCCCCGGGCGTAGTATAAATTCGAAGGGACATTGCATTTTGCTAGTTTATTCCTTAAAAGTAAGCCTTTGTTATGGATTTAAAGCAATATATTTCAAAGAGACTAGCAATTACTTTAAAAAGATGCGTAAATTCCACAACCGATATAAGTGCAGATGCCAGTCCCAGGTACCCGTTTCTAATACTATCTCTGATTGTGGGTTCGTGTTCTGGCCATTGAATCTATTTCTTCCCAATTACTTTCTCACATTTTCGCATGTATCGGCAATTTATTTCAGCGCGATGTGTTCCGATCGGCCAGATGATGAGAAATTTTGCCTTATGAGAGACCATTACTTATGAGCGGATTCGTCTTTTGCACATGCGTCTTGACAAAAATGAAATGTGTTTCATAAAAACTCCAGTGAATGCGAAGTTAAAGAGACGTACGGTATTTCAATACGGAGAAATAATGATCTGTGTGCTGCTTAGAAGTTGCCACACGAGGATGTACAAATAACTTGATACAGCCTACTACTGACTCTGACAATGGTTTCGAGAGGGAATTTGAAACGTCAGACAAATAAAATTCTTATCTGGGCGATCGTTTCTTCTTCTAACTTCTACAACGTAAGTTCAACAATCATAATTCTCATCTAAAGACCGCGCATTTGGATGCCGTGCCCAAAGGAATTCAATGCACAAATGATGCGTAAAGGAATTAAAATGCTGGTTTGTTACCGGTCAACTAAAATTTATAGCACGTTCTTAGTCAACCTTTACATCAAAATCATAACTGTTTTAAGTAAAATGAGCCACTTAGGTGATTATCTGACATTAGGGTATTCGCAACTTTTACATAGTATTGTCGTTAAATTTATAGAAATTGCATGCTTAACACTACAAGCCTAACCTGCTCCCACCATATCTCATTAAAGTCTAATGAAATACAGAGAACGGCTAATTGTTCCGAAGGATCGATTTAAATGTCGGCACAAATCATATGGGATGTAAATATTTCCTAGCCACAAAAAATAAGTCTCCCTTGGTCTATCTGAAAGGATGTTGCAAAGGCATACCAAAGAAACATGCCAACGAACCCTTCCTTGTATTAAAACTCTATCTGTACGCATCGAAACGCACCCAACTACCGTGAAATACAAAAGCCACGCAAATTGATTATTGCAGTATGCACCAAAGCTGTACATTCTAAAACCATAAGAAAAGCTATTGAAAATGTAAATAATAGATTACATCAATCACTTATTCGCATAAATAATAAACCAGTATTTTTCCGTCGCGTTTAAAAAAGAGATGCTTTGCGCAATTGACGGAGTCATATTCACGTAAGAAATTAGGAAACGTTATCTACACGCAAACAAGTCAATATGTATGAAAACACACACTCTTTGTAAAATGAAAGGTAAATTTTCATAAGTTACCATCTGTCTGGATCACTAGGAACCCTGGATATAACATTTTCGATTCGATGGCTGTTGGGATTAGTTATTTGATTATACTCTTGTCTGGAATAGCACTCCTTGCAGTGACTTTTGCCCCCAGCTGTTACTACGCAGTACGGTTGTACGTCATATAATCCACATGTAGAAGAGGCCTGCAAAGCACTTTCTCGACCGATGAGCAAATCGCCGGCCTTGGGACTGCATAAGGTATTTTCACAAGAATACTCTTCTTCGTATGCCAAAGCAAAGTCTAAAACAAAGTGTGAAACAAAAAAGCATGTTTACTAAATATAAACACTGCTATTATCAATCCCACAATCCATTGTCTTCTCATGTTGCAGATATCGTGAATGCAACCTTGAGATTAAAAACGAGCGCCATATTTTTGTTTATGTCCACCTTGCAGTTCGACGCAACCTAAGTAAGTTTGTACACGATTATCATGACCAACTTTGCTGTTGAACTTTAACCGTACGCATAAGTACTAAGCAGCGATGTCAAAACGAACAATTTAAAAGACGGAATGAAAAAAATACGAGAGAATAAACCCCTTCAAACTAACCTGCAGCATCGACTGAAAATCAAGACCTCTATTATAACGTAGATTAGGAACTTGTTGGATATCGCAAGATAACTGTTGTTGATGGAGCTGGTGTTAATAAAAAAACGAGAGGTTGTTTCAAAATTATTTATTATTTATTTAGGATAATCCAGCTTCCATAAAATAATCCCTACACA